CTTCTTTTGGATTATTACTTTCATTTATCTCATTTCCTTAATGCACTTTTTTTATAATTTTTTTTTACCTTTTTTAATTTATTTTTTATAAGAAATTAGTTATTATAACATGGTAAGAATCACATATATACTTTTTATGAAATTTAAATTTATTAATTTAGATCACTTCTTCGGCTACAGATTCATATATATGCGTAATAATACAATTAAAATTAAAATTAAAAAAAGAAGACTACCTTCTTATTTCAGATATTTGTTTATTTTAATCAAAAAAAAAATTGACAGTTTCTCTTATATTTTCCTTAAATAATTGTTAAAAATTATGTGTAAGTTTATTTATTTATTTTTCTATTTTTCTTATACTTTTCCAAATTTTGAAAAGACTGAAAATTCTACCTCAAAACCTTATTGAATTATCAAATACGCCCATATTTAAATCATTTCATCATTGATGCTATTAATTTTTTAAATTTTTTCCTTAAATTCATCAATAATGTTATGTGTATCATTTCCTTAAATCATTTCTTTTCCTTTCTTTTTTCTCTTTACTCTTTTATTTCTCTATTTATTTCAAAAAATAATTGTCATAACTGTATTAAAATATATTTTTTTAATATATAAATAGAATTTGATTTGTCGTTTTATTTTGAATTCTTAGATTATTTCTTCTACTAAAGTATATCAATTTTGTTCTTAAATGTCTATTGAAGTATAAAAATAAAACTAAAAGTATAATAATGCTATGAATGGCACAATATCGACTAAGAACAACATTGATACCAGGTCATTCATAGACTATTTCTTATTATTTGATCTGAGCAAATTAATATCAATGTTGTTTTTAGTCAATACTGGGTCATTCATAGCATTATTATACTTTTAGTTTTATTTTTATTTTTCAATAAAAATTGATGACCTACAAAATTCAAGCTTTATTCATATTGAATTATCGATTTAAAAGTAATCACTTTTAGATTGTTAAATTATTTCTGATTTATTATTAATTTTCTATTTTGCTAACATAATATATTAAAATATTAATTTCGTTCTTATTATTGATTAACTATTATAACTTATGAATCTAAGGGTTTTGGAATAAAATACATATGAACTTGAAGTAGTGCAAGTTATATTTCATGAATAGGTAATTTATAAAAAGCTTATTTTAAATTATTGTTATACCGTGTGAAACGCGGACAAGTTTTCTAGTATTTTATAAAAGTAAATAACTCCAATCAATGCTATCAATAAAGTCAAATCTGTCAAACGCAATAAACAAATGGGAAAAAGATTAAATTCGAAAACAAAATAAACGTACAAAGAAAATACATAATTAAGGTGATATTGATTAATGATTTTGGTAACTAGTTCTAGGCTTCTAGCTAATAGCAACTCTAAAGATCACATTCAACATGCATAATACATAAGAAATTGATTGATGAACATCATTGTAGTAGCGTACATATCCCGGCTAGAAAATTAAAAAAAAAATTAGCGATAAACAAAATTTCATGCTAAATAATAAAAATTTCATGTTAACCCTCAACCCTCTGGGAACGTGGAGCTTAACAGACACTAGCAACAGAATATTCACATAAGGCACGAAATTCACCGAAAGGATCTTCAGGATTCGTTCGGAACCCCTTACAACAAATCAAATATGCTAGCTACTCGACTAAATTCGACATTCCAAATTCAATGGAACCATTGAAACACGAATTTGAGGTCTCCTTAACCCAAAATCCGTGAAAATCACAAGAAGCAAACATAACGCCTAAAAAGGCTAAATCAAGCTCGGGATCTCTGAAAATTCAACCAAGACCTCCTCTAGGCCTAAAATCATCCCTTGAATCCAACGAAACTTTAGGAAATCCGATCCGAACATCCGAACCCTGAATGTTGACGAAAGTCAACTCAACAATTTCCAATTTAGGACCTCAAATTAATCCACAAAAAGATTCTGAATCTGAAAATCAACAACTCTCTTGAACCAATTTCCACATTACGAAACTGATGGAATTGTTCCAATTTGAGACTCGAAACTCTAAAAGACACCAAAAACCACTTTTTAACAACTTTAGCCTTTCAAAACTTTAAATTTCCACAATTCACACTCAAAACTCAAAACTAATTTAAAGATCCAATCATAAATGACTCGGAGTCGATATCAGGAGGGGTAAAACGATAAAAAAATATTGATTGATGAACATCATTGTAGTGTACACATCCCGGCTAAAAAATAATTAAAAAAATTAGCGATGAACAAAATTTCGTAGCTAACAATAATTTTTTTATGTTAATCCCATTTAGCGATGGATTACAAAAAGAATAAGTTAACTAGCTTTTTATTAATGGATTAGCAGTTAGAAATTATCGTAGCAATTTCATGTTTTTTTTATAAAGTTTGTGTAGTCGAAAATTGGTGTCCAAATAAATTGATGTTACTACTCTTATCAGCAATCACACAAATGGTCGCAACATCAATGTGATGATTCCTATCAGTTTAAACTAGCCGGATTTATTAAATAAATGTGTTGGGTCATATATGTAAGCATTTTAAATTTATTTATTAAGTAAAGGATGTAAAAACTACATAAAATTCAATTTTTTATACCAATAGAAAGTAGACTTAATTTTAGTGAATATATATTGCAAAACATTGCATTAATTATTTTTGTGATGCAGGAAATATTTCAATGTCATCTGGCTGCGTACCCTATAGAAGCCTACCCCTATAGGCAAAGGCAACGCGCGCTACTCACTCTCTGTCACTTGCTTAACAAACTTCACCTGCAGCGGGTGTGATACAAACTCGATTACAACACAAGCACTATTATATATAATTATTGCAAATACAAGTTACTATTAGAATATGCACTACAAAGTTAAAATACATTAATTAAGGAGAGACTAATAACATAGAAGAAGGTAACTAGAAGAGGATGAGATACAAGAATAGAGAAAGTTGATGAGAGATATTTTCCTGCGAATTTTCATACTAATTCCTAGGAAAATCCCCATGTAATTCACAGTTTTCCTGTAGTGTTATATATATGTAATATTGATTAAATTTTATGATATCACTAATTATTAATTAACTATCTCTATCACAAGATTTTTTATTATTTTTTTACACGTGTTAAGCCATGAAATTGACAATAATATACTAGAGTATGAGACTTTATAAAAGGAGAATGCTACAATTTCTTAAGACAAGATACAAACTTTAAGACTTGAAGCATTTGCAAACATCATTGATCATGTTGCTCATGTTCATATTCGAGCTATTTGTTGTTGAAATATCAAAAGATGAAGAAATATATATCATAAAGACCACACAAGAGAAAGGTCAAATTAATTCAAACTATTATATATAGCTACAAATTATTGTACTTTACTTTTAATTTTTTAATTATTCATTATTTACATGTTTATTAATATTATTTGTATTATTTTAAAAATTATATAAGTTGACATTGAAAAACGTGCAACACACGTTCTCAGAGACTAGTTCAGGTATATAACTCAAGATAGTAGGAAAATTTAAGTGTGTATTTTTATCCTTTAACTTTATTTTATCATGTCCTCTTTATTTTTATATTTTTCTTTTTCAAATTACTTTGATATGCGTTATTTTAGCCCAAAGTCTTTTCAAAACAACTTATTTATCTCTACGTGAAATAATATAAGCAAAATTTGTGTACAATATATCCTCTTCGAACTTCACCTATACGATTATATTATTATACACTGCAAATTTAAATTAATTGAAGAAATTAATAAAAGAAAAAGGAAAAGTAGAGAGACGGTATGACAAGTTTTAATGAAATCCACTCATCTTTGAGAGTACATATTTTGAGGCAGTTCACACAACCACTTGATTGTTTCCCTTGAAAGAGACCACTCAACAACTTCTTTCATGAGTGGATAAGATTCATAAGATATTTATCTAATAAAAAAAAATATCTAGTGTGATAAATATTTATTTACATCAAGTGTTTATATCTATTTAATATAAACAATATCAAGTGCGAAATTAACATAATCCTAAACCTACACTCTTTTTTGTTTCATTTTATGTGTCGTTGTTACTATTTAGAAAGTTAAAAAGATTTTATATTTAACCCACGATAATTTCAAATACATTGTAATTAATTTTTGAATTGTTAATATTGTAACTAATTATAGCTTTTTGTTATGTATTGTCAAAATATTTTTAAAAAAATTAATAAGTTCAAGATTTTATGTTCAAATTCATACAGAAAATTAGTTAATTTAACCTTCGCACTTTGAATTAAGTTACATAAGTTTAAACGGAAGGTAGGGATGGTGGATCTGCCATTTCGGTACCATTCATCTCAACTTATTACTTTCGACATGTACTATAAATTTATATGTAAAAACTCATCATAATGACACTAAATATAGTGGATATTAAATTAAAGCATAACTTAAATTTGAGTAAGTAATGAATTCATGCAAAAAAAAATCTTTTTACGTGATGAGGTTCTTTTGAACCTAATATTTTTCATACAAAACATAAATAATGACCAACTCCTTCGACTGAAATGGTCTTATATGGCCACTTACCATTTGAATAGAACAAAATAATCTTTTCAAAACTCATGTATATTATTTTCAAATCTGCTACGTATAAAAATAAAAATCTCTTATTAAAAAGAAACACACAAAAACCAAGCACTTAACAATATTTGTATAAAAACAATTCTTGTATAACCACTTACAATTCAAACATAAAAAAATAATCCTTTGAGATTCTCGTTTGTTATTTTCAAATCCTTTATGTGTAAAAATGAAGATATATATACAAAACCAACCTACCAACCACCAAATTCCAAACCTTCAAAATATCTTTCAAGGAAGAAATATCTACCCCCAAAGATATCTAACTACATTATAACATTTGTAGCACATGATATTACATTGATGAACCCCTTCAACTAACACAAATAAATAATATTACCCTTTTTTACTTCAAGATCTTTAACAACAACAAGAAGAAGAAAATGGAAGTGAATGGAAATATTAGACCAAATAGAAGTGATGTTCATTTATCAAAAGAGGAAGAAACAAAGATAGAAGAGGCAACAAGAGAGTATTTTGATGACATTGCACCAAAAAGACACACTAAACCTCAACGAAGTGATTATTCTTCAACTTATGTTGATCACATCAATCTCTATCCTTCTTCTCATGACACAATTCCCGAAAATCTTGAATTCCAACGTCTCGAAAATGATCCTCAGGTCTACCTCATTCTCTACATTTGTCTGTTTTGTTTTAATCAGTAGAGACGGATTCAAGATTTGAAGCTAGTTGAACTCTTAATATAAAAGTTATAGTTTCATACCTACTATTTATTTGCAAATTTTATGAATTTTTTTGCATAAATTATACTCCGCATCGAAAGTATTGAATCATAATTCTTTTTGTTTAATAGGTTCTGAGTAGATTATTTGTACATATTAGATTCGTTTTTAATACAAATATGATGTTTTAGCTAAAGTTAATGAATTTTGTTGAACTCTTAACTATGCCTTGAGAATGATTTTCATGTCAAGCTTTTTTTTCCCTCATTTTTTCACTTTTGGGGTTTCTTCTTGTTGGTGATTTATTTATCAGTAGAAAATGTAGATTTAGAATTTCTAGTGATACAGAAACTAGTTTTTTTTAAATATAATATTGGAGCGAGATGAGGTTAAATGAAGCAACCACTACTGAAAATAAAGGTTTTTCTCGCCGCAATTCAGTGGGAAATTTGTGTAATAGAACATGATTTTTCCTCTTATTTCCTATCAAACTAGCTTTACTAAGAAAATGTATTGTGGAGAATAACTTCCCACTAAAATAGTGAGAAACTTCCTAAGTTTTCCATAGGAATAAGGTACAAGTATCCCCTAGACTATGACCGAAATCTCAGAAACATACATTAACTAAACTAAGGTCCTATTACCCTTGAATCCATTTTTTTGTATTTTTATACACCTTTTTGTTTTACGTGGCATCCAAATATCTCTCACGTCTCAACTGCGTGGAGTCACGGAGTGTGCGAATGCCACGTAAGCCCAAAGGTGTGCAAAATTACAAGAAAAATGAGTTTAGGGGTAATAGGACCTTTTAGTTAAGGTGTGTCTCTGAGATTTCGGTCATAGTCTAGGGGATACTTGTGTCTTATCCCTTTTTCATACGAAAACATTACTATTTTTTTCTTTTCTCACCGATCTAATCAAAATATCTGTGGACGTAGCCACTGAACAATGACTTTTAGTAGTGAACATGACGAGGAGTAACCTTTTGTATAGCTGACCTCAACTAGCTTGGAATTGAAGTGTAGTTGATCCATTTGAATCACACTTTTTTTATCCAATCGCACAGAAATAGCACTTCCCTTTTAAGCGTTGAGTCATGGTACAATTTTTTCTTCCCGATGTATCAAAGAGTACCTATGAACTATGTTCCGGTTTACTCATAAGGAAGATAACGGGGGACGGGGGTGGGAACGAACTATATGATGTGATAGTAAACAGGAACCATTATGTAAAAGATTTGGGGATCTATGTTTGGTCAGATTCTTCCAAAAACATCGCTAGGTTTGTGTTGGATCCTACAAAATGTATGTATTTTTGAAGGATCTGACACGGGAACGGAAGCATTTTGGAGGGTCTGAGTAACATAGTCGGGGATTATAAATCACATTAACGTCAATCGGATTCATATATCTTTTGGTTTTGCAGAAATTGGTTTCCAATGGCAGCCAAGTGACAGAGGAATTTATTGAAACAGAGTATTACAAAGATCTTAATTGCATTGACAAGCAGCACCACACGGTTACTACTCTCACTCTTATAACACTCTTATTACCAAACAAATCCAATTACAGTTGAACCTCTCTATAACGACATCGTTTGTCTGATATTTTTTGGCTGCTAAAATGAATGTTGTTATAGAAAGAATATAAGAGTTAATAGTAAAAAAATACACTTGCATACTTTTTCGCGAGTTTCATATCTCAACTATCATTGTTCTCTTTATCTAAACTATCACTTCTTTTGTATTAAAGTACATATCAATGCTGAGTTGGCCAAATATTTGTTCACAATCAACAATAGGCGTGTGTAGGCCAACTCAACATCGAGATATGTTTTAATACAAAGGGAGTGATAGTTGAGGTATGAAACTCGCAAAAAGGTGATAGATTAGAACAATATATTGTTGAGGTATGAAACTCATGAAAAAAATGATGATTTAGGTGTGTTCTTTTACCACGAGCTCAACATATAATATAATCTAATGTGCAAAACGGCTCCCAAGAAAATTTAATTGTTATAGTGAAATGTTGTTATTGAGGATGGATGTTACAGAGAGGTTTGATTGTGTTCCTTTAGTCTATGTTGTTCGGGTTCTCTAAAAATAATGCAATTTCGGAGGATCTGACATGCTCGTGGCCGTATTTTTAGTCGATCCAAGAGCAATGTAGCTTTTGGTTAAAAAATAAGGTTCATGAACTATTTTTTGTGGGAAAATGCAGACAGGAACAGGATTTATCAAAGTGGAGAATAATGGGAACACTTTCAATATAGGAGCTGATTCTGCTACTGATCCAAGCCATGTTTACAAGGGGAATCCAGCTACTAATGATTGGATTCCTTCTGCTGTTGATGAGGTATGACCAAATGAAACTTTTTGTATATGTGACAAAATGTTTGCGATAACTTGCTGAGAGACGTGTGAGATGAAAAAGTCTAAGAAATGATCTCATGTGACACAATGAGTTCATGGTGAACACCTGATAGGGGGAGGGGATTGGAGGTTAATCTATTCACTCAAATTAATTTCCACATGTATTGCCACTTGGAATTCTTTGGAGGAGCTTTTGAAACGTGATATTCACCAACATGCCATATTCCTCCAAGGGTATTCTAAAAAAAGTTCAGGATAATTCCGTGAGCACTCAATAATTTAAATATGAAACTCACAAAATGAGATTGGTTTAGTGTTTGTTAACCTATTTAGTATTCACTCTAATTTATAACTCGATAAAGAAAGAGTAGGGCAAGTCCCCATACATCTGAGAAAACTAACTCAAATAGTACACTATAATGACTCTCATTGTTGAAATATTACTTTATAACAGTGGAATATTACATATACAATAATGACTAGTTTGAGTTGGTTTAATAGATGATTGAATGAAAGGAAAATGTTTAATTTTATTTCTTTGGTTATTGTAATTCTCAAAATTTACGTCTAATTGTCTTTCATTTTTGGTGGATCAGGTTAATTTTATCTCAGGAAAACCAAACAGAAGTGATAACTGAAATTGAGTTTTTGATAAGGGCAGTAGCTGCTTATTTTGTATTTCTGTGAAGCTTGGCTTCAACTTGTCTCTCTTTTGTTTGGTTGTATTTGAATAACATGCTGTATGAATTATTTCAGACGATTTTTCCCTATATCCCTTCTCTTTTTATTTCCAGCAAGCAGTCTGCTACTTTCTAGTTTTAAAACGATGTAAATTAGCCAAATATCTGCTAAGGGGGTGTGATGAAATGAATGGAATAACCTAAGTCATTAACCAGAGACTGTTGTGAACAAAAATAGCATTATAAAGGATGCCCTTTTCTTGTTGTGTCAAATCTGAAATTCCCTCTGTGCTCTTTTTTTTTTTTTTTTGGTTTCCAAGCCGGAGTCTGGTACCCACATTGAGGGAGCACTTTGTTACCTTCTTTGTCACCCAAAGAGAAATAGAAAGATGACCAGATCAACAGCTTGCTTAGCATCAATCACATTCAAGTGATAAACTAGAACCCAAGTCTTGTGTAACAACTTTAAGACAAACACATAGATGCAGAACTTCAAAATCATACCTAAATTTTAAGAGAATGCCATACAGTAAATCTTGAAGTTCATGCATTTCTCTGTGCTAATCAGGGTGTAATTTACTGTCGATTGGTAAATGTACATATGAAAGACTTGAATTTCTGTACAAATTGGCCAAAGTGTAGGGTATCCTTGCTCAAAGTCCACATCTTGGCGTTCATATTTTAGTGTACAACAAGTGTATCGTCAGGTCCTTTAGAATTGCAAATGAAATCAAGGCTTCCTGACCTAATCAAACTCCAGTAATATACAAGCTAGCTGCAAACACGATATCGCGCTTGATCACATTAGATGCAGTTTCCATTTTCTTGTACAGTGCAGAGTTGCCCATAATTGCAGCAGCATTTCTAAATTCCCGACAAGTCTCGTCTAATCTAACAATAGTCCTCACTATTACACCTTCAGGGACATCTGTGAGTTCACAAATCTCAGCAAATGGGGTCCCCTGCAAGAGGGAAGCAGAATTAGAGACACCCCACACTGGAGAACAGAAGAATCAAGCAACGGGTACAATATTATGATATATAAGTCATACGCAACCACATGCAAATCCTTGATTTGAGAGAGAGAGAGAGGGAGAGAAAGAAAGAGAGAGAAAGAACCTTTGCCCATTCATATACCACTTCAACCAAACCAAACTTAAGGTTCTCTTGGGCATACTCCTTTGGGTCAATCGGTAGCTTAAACTGAGCCTGAAGCTCCCCAAGTCTTATTGCAGTTTCATGTAATCTGAAATCCAACGATAATGATATTGTCATTGAGAACAAAGTAACCAAAAAAAACTATAATCCCAAAGAACAGGGTTAAGTTACAGCTCATGGTAATTAATGAGAAAATACCTACAGAATACATCAGAATGACTTGAAACAATTAGAAAAAATATGAATGAAGCTATCAGAATGAAATTACTGTAATCAACAACTAGAGTTGCACTAGTCAACTAAAGACAAGTAGACAACATTGACAAAGTGCAAGGAGGAGATGACATGACTTCAGAAGTAAAAGAGAGCGAAGTGGCCATACACCGTTTAAACATTAACAGCCTTTGTAGGCACAAATAATGACAGAAATGTTCTGCGGAAGATCTGAAGCTGTGTAAAACTCTATCCTCTGTTGTTCCAGTAACTTCTTTACAGAAGGAAATTTAGATATTTTGCAGTCAAAAGATATTCCACTAGCAGTTGTGCATTCAGAGAAAGACCCAAAATCAGCAACCAGGTCTTAGACCATTACATGCTTGATTTGTAAGTCTGACCAAATCTCATCTTCAAAAAATCTTTCAATAAAGGAAAAGCAGGGCATACACTGACAATGTAAGAGAATTGGCAGCTGGCCCGAAAATTCTTTTCCCTCTATAAAGTGTATTAACTATAACAAAGAAGAAACAACTTGATAAGAAATGAGCCTTGAGCCTAAATCAACTCCAAAAGTACTCATGAGGTAAGAATTGCCCAGGACCATATAAAGAGACAACAACCCATTTCCACCATCAAGGTGGGACACTCAACAAAAATTGCTTACCACACATTTACTCTATCTCTACTTTCACAGCACCCACTTTGTGATATCAAGAAAATGTGTCATAGCTCTTAGACCTGTGACCTTGTGATGTGTCTCTTCGGATGTGCAATTCCGTGAAACATGTGACATATTTAACTTGACATATTATAATCCAATTATAGAGATATACCCAAGTTAGTAACTAGCATCCCGTTCAACTTGCATATGCGATTCTGTGAAACATGAGAATACATTTGACATGATATGTTTTGTTCTCATGAAAAAAAAGAATGATGTATTTTATTCCAATCCTAGAGATAAAAACCAATTTAGAACCCTAAATTGTCCAACAAAGTAGTGATAAAAAGGAAAGTACATCTTGTTTGATATCATATTCCAATCATCTCATCAATTAATTTTGACTACTTTTCTATCATTAAACCTAATGTATAACAAGGAGAAGTCTTCACTGTCTTTTAGGCTCATCCATTAAAGAAACATTACAAAAAATCAACATGGCTGATATACAGGTTTGATCCCTCAATAACTCAGACACCGCAAACACAAAATCTTATCAAAACTCTTCAATAAATTTTTTTATCCAAAATTACTAACAACAATTGAATATATATTTCATAGATGAACAGGAAAAATGACAACATGTAGACATGAGCATATCACACCATATATTTTGAAAAGAAAAATAACCTCTTTTTAGCCTGAGAAAGCTTTGGCGTGAGGAATGATTCAGAAGTCTCCTTCTGCTGAAACACAAAGGAAGACATGATCGCCACTGCCTCTTCTGGTTCCAGGTCATCTAGTTGATTCTCAAATAAACATTCTGTGCATATCAACTCCTCTCCGGAATTCATTTCGCAAGCAACACGGCCTTTGATTTGAACTACAAGGTCAGCATCTATGCAGCCAATTTCTTTTAACACATCTATCTGCAAATAGTGTAAAAGGGGATGTTATGAACCCTTCCTTTGCAAGAATTGATTGGCACGAAAAGGGAAACCAAATTGTAATGATAATGTGGGTCCATACCCGACCCTGAAAATCTGGCATCTGCTGAAGTGCCTCATCTGACATTTCAAACCTCAAAGCATTCACTTCCGCTCGGTGCAGCTCTAATTCTTTAGCCAATTTCATGTGCTCATCCAATTTAATACAACCATGACACTTATTCTGTGCCATTTTCTGCAAGAGATTATTCCATTTGTAGTATGCTTCCACAAGATTCATGTCTTTCAACTTCAGATCTGGCATAGAATCTTCATTAGAGAATGAAATGTGGAGAATCTTACAGACAGTCATTGCCATATATTCACTACAAAAAATTCAAAACTTTAGAGACAATGCGAACATTGGACTAGTAAGTCAAAAGGTTCTTTCTCCAGGATCACCGGAAACCTTGGTAGCCGTGTTTGCCTTCAAGCATCCTTGATTGACTAAAAACATGGTCAAGAAGAGTAATATTAGGGCTGGAGACAAGTCATCCAATATCACAAAGAATGTCACCTCGTCGGAAAACATGGTTTGAATGGAGGGAAACTAGAGATAACTTGCTTAGAAGGATGACAATCAGATGGAAAGTTGTGTCATGGATTTGCTATTTATTGCACAAGGCTTCTGAGGTCAGAGGTAATGAAGTCAGGAGGTGGAAGCTTAGGGACCATCGAGCCGCTTATTTCTGTACAAAGAAGTTGAGTGCCTTCGGCAGATTTGTTTCCATTGTCGCAGTACAGGGGAGTAAAAGGTCCATTATTATTATTCCAGAATCAGCATTCAATGCTGGTTGAGACAAGCCAGCACATAAAATTGGAAATTTTATTCAGAGAAAAACAAGATTACAACAGTCACATCTCCCCAATAATTGAACTCTTCCCATGCTGAAGCTACTAACAAATACAGATGGACAGTGAGATCTGGCACTCTCTCAATGGAGGAACTCCATAAAAGCAAACGGATTGGAGGAATCCAGGATAAAGAGATCCTGGGAAGATGCTTGCTGGGCCATTTCGACGGTCAGGAGATCCCAAACCATAGTCATGTGCATATGGGCTAACAGAAAATGGGGCAGCTACATAGGGGTATTCGAAATGTGTGACCATCATTTTCTCTTTGAGTTCCCGACTAAGATCATGGCGGAGCACACTCTAACAGGGGACTGGAGTGGGAAAAGAAAGCACTACATCTGTCATGGTGGTCTACGGCATCTGGTTGCGTGGCGGAAAATTGTTGATATGCCAGAACTTGGATTAGAATATTGGGCCTCCCTCTAAAGCTTGGGGTGAAGAAGATGATGAAAGAAATCAAGAAAGATGCAGAACGAAGAAACTGAGCTCAAAAATCATCTCCGATGTGCTCACATGAGGGTCAAAGGAGCCACGGAGTGAATACCTAGTCACATCAGCATTGAATGGGAGGGTCATTTATGTCCCATCCCGATTTGGAAAGACATTCTGAAAAGAATCAGCCTTCGGTGACTTACAGACAGTCGCAGGGGTCAAAGGCTGGCATTGGTAATAGCCTGGGTCTAGGGCTAGACGATATGGCAGATCCTATATTGGGTAGGGGTCTTATAAAGTTCAAACCAAGTTTGCATGCCTCAACACATGGGAAGGAATTAATGGAGAATCTGGAAGATGCTATTTTATCTGAGGTGGGCTGACCCAAGTTTTACAAGCCAAACTTGACAGAATTAATAGAAATTGGTCCTGGGCCTTTTCAAAACATGGAGATGGTCAACCCATCTTTTAAGACCTTAATTGTAGAATCTGATCCTTCTCTACGGGTCTCGCTCCAGCCAAGAATTGATGTTATTGAGAATGCAGAGGCACAACTCAGACCCGATGCAAGACAGGATAATTTATCCACTGCTGGAGAATATTATTTATGTCACTCCAATCACAATTGCTGAACCAGAGGAAGATATTTTGGGGTACAAGATAACATGCAACTGGAATTGATTCCACAAGAACCAGAAACCAGGAAGGATGATGATGAACTACGGGTGAGTTAGGTAACTCTTCTATTATATCTACCAAAACTAGGGGTTCAAAGAAAGTACAAGGATTGATCTGCAGTATAAACTACAAAGTTTAAGGATGGGGAGCCAAGAATCAGGTGGTATATATACGGCAGGTACAGATAACCATATAAATAATGCTGACATACCTTTAACCGGATCTAAGGCAGGAGGATACATATTTCCTTCAGATTTCAAACCGAGCAGCTGTTGTATTGTGTTAGAGTAGGCCCCCGCACTAACATCTTCAAGAAGCCGAACTTGGTCGATCTTAATCTTTTTCACACATATATACAAGAAATCCTTGTTATCAACTCCTCGAACCTCATAATTCATGCCGGCAGCATTACCGCGGTGAGGCAATTTGATGTTGACAGCGCCAGTTCCCTTCCGGGAGGTGACTGACGAACAATACTCATCGTCATAACCCCGTCTTGATTTAGGCACTAGTATCTGCATTTCAGAATTTTTTTGATCTTTCCTGTTGCTTGCATCTGACGAAGTTTCCAGAGTTGAAGGCAATTCTGGAGTCAGAACTAGAACTATATATTGTCTGTTGTTAGAGGAAGGTGTCTTCACCACAACGCCTAGTAAGTGATCTTGAGCCTGCAAGTAGTAAAGGGAAAGAAAAGCATTTGCACATGTTTTGGACTTTTCATGTGAATCTCTTTAATGGAAATATGAACTGTGAGGCAAAAATCATATACTTCCAATGTCCAAGTAACCTCATGAGATGGGCAAAAGTAGACAGGATTATGATACTTCTAAAATGAACAGTGATCAGAACAAACCGCAAAAGGAATTGGAACACTTTCAGTTTTCAAAACAAGTGATCTCAAACTGCAGAAGTTTCTATACTAGGAGGCCCAGTCAAATCATCCAGATTATCAACCTTCAGCCATTTTTACCATTGAAAATTCCTTAAGAGACGTTGACCTACTTCATGAAACACTTTGAACCATATGTTTCTTTGCTGGTTTATTAATAATACCATATTTGGTTACATTTAAATGATATATCATCAAAATGTTCATATGTTTCTGCATACTGAAGATTATGATGTGACTTTCCGTTGCAGAGGACTAGATCATGGAACTAAAGAACTTGGCCTTGTAAATTTCCAAATCATACCAGATAGCTCAACTCTACTGTGTCTCAAAAGAAAGATTTTTGAGTATTAGAATGAAACATGTGCAAATAGAATAATGTGTTGATACACAGATGCAACTACTTTGGGATCGATGCATAGTTATTATTATTATTGTATGCCAGATAGCTGACAATATTTTGACCTTGAAGATGAAAAGAGGCTACTGCCTAATGCCTATTTAGTGAATAGAATGTAATAGAACTTACTGATTGTGATTTTACAACCACTGCTCTCCCAAGAGTAAGGTACTGCTGAGAAGCTGGTGACTGCATTACTGCTTCTGCTATTTGGTGGCTATATTTTTCTGCCTCCAAATACATGTCATAGTATTCCTCAATTGCTGGCTCACCCTTTATGCATCTATATCAGACAAACTGTACTTATTACTATGCAAATAAATATCACAAATGATGCAAGAGTCATCCACAGAAGGTGGCATTTAGAAGCTATAATAGGCTTCATAGTAGCAAGTATTTCATAGACCGTACAGGCTTTATAGAATTTAGCAATTAAAAGCACTACCAAAAAACAGGATTCTCAAGACCATTGGTGTCTGTGCTTCTCTCTCTTGTGTGTGTGTGTGCGTCTGTGTGAGAGAGAGAGAGAGAGGACATGTTAAACAATACCAGGAAGTACAAAAGAATTAAAAAAAAAAAAAAGGGGGGGGGGGGGGGGAGGGGGGGGCAATTAGTCAGAAAAAATGGTGGAGACTTATCCCTGCTTGCAAATGGTGGACCATTTGGAAGGAGAGGAACTATAGAGCTTTTGAAGACAAATACAATTTTGTGGAGAAAATCAAGATGAGTTGTATATTCTTGTTTTATTTTAGGTGTAAAGAAAGCCGTGCTGAGGAGGCTGAATCACTAGTTGATATGATTGGATCCTTGTGAAGCAGTAACCTAAGCTAGGTTGAGATTTTGTAAAGTCATTACCAGTTTCAAAAAAAAAAGTACAAAAGAATAAGCTTGGGAAAATCCACACAACATCAAAGCACTGAAGCAAATGCAGACAAACAAGGAAGCACATATAAGTGTTTTAAGGTGTGACAAATACATGTCGAAAAATGAATCCAGAAAGACAATTATGGTCGAAAACTCAGATAGTGTAACTGTTTTAGTAATTCTTACTCAACAGATTTTGTAGGCTGAGCAAGCTTTCGCATCAAGAGTTGCTGTTGCTCAGGTAGTTTCTTCTGAGCATGAAATTCAGCAAAACTTCTTTTCAGCATGTCCTCAACCTGAAAAATTTGTAAATTGTACTTCATCAGGAGAAATCTGCTGGGATGAATTAACTAAGCTAGTGAGAATGAACATCAATCCGTGAAATGGAACACATCATTAACATGAATCATATTACTAACAAGTGCCATTACTCTAAAATTATGAGTTAGAGATGTAATGGCAATACGCCGTTGCCCAATAATGTTGTTGAGCAAATCAGCTGTATTTTGCAAAAGAAAAAAGAAAAGGTTGTGTCAGTGGTATATGCAGTACTTTTTTAGAGTAGTTAATGTCTTTTGTGTTGATCCTTCTTTACTGCTTATTAAAAACAAAAGGAAACAGAAAAAAGAAGAAGAAACATTGAATTTCCTAAGGATGCTTCAAACTTTTAGACTTATTGTATGTATTCAATAACCATGAACTTTATCTGCTAAAGCGTTCTTAAACAATGTTTTGCAGGTGAATAAAGAGACTTGAAAATACTTCCAACTCGCTACTACATACAAGCTCCAGGAGAGAGAAATGAGAATGGTAATGATGCAGCAAGAACCAATTAGCTCTAAAATCATATAAAACTAAATTGCAAGGAAAATGAACTGTCAGAAACTGAATTTTGAAATAGATGCTGTGTATGGGACTATTTTGAGAGATCAAACTGTTCTCTTCTTTCCTAGTTAGTCAAAACATGTACCTTCAGTTCTTCAACCCGAAGTAGATGCAAAATCATGATGTAGGTCAGTCGAAACTGAGATTCAAGCCTAGTTGCAGTACCAACTATTACATGCTTCAAATCATTTTCGAAAGGGATCTCATCTCGGCACATCACCACAACTGTACCAGTTTTATCAAGTCCTCTCCTTCCAGCACGCCCAGCCATCTGAGTGTACTCTCCGGGAAGTAGTTGCCTAAATTCCTTGCCATCAAACTTTCTTAAAGAATCAAAAACAACCTGCCCAAAATTTAATATAGTTTAAACTTTTTTAGCAATAGGATATTTGAATAGAGAGATATGCTTGCTTACAGATCCTTGAATAATTAATAGCAAATATCAACAGGGAAACTAAAGAAATTCTGCAATCTAAGATGGTACTCTGCAGTCTGCAATAATATGCCACATGTCGTCAAGGAATTAGAGAGTACAAGAAATTTGAACATCAAGGAAAATAAGCAGGTAAAAAATTATAAGTCAGGAATGACCATAATACAGAAAGCAAACCCGCCAAAAGCTATATTAAGGATTGCCATGTTTGGTACTGAAAATTCAAAAATTGATCAATACATAATCAGATACTGAACTAAGTAGACCTTTTACCAATAGTTCTTCCAGTGAGATCACTTATCCCACATAAGAAGTGAACAGCTCAAATTGTTCTTGACCTTCTCTCCTCATGCTACCATTTTCTAATAACTAATATATTACAGTAAAAAGATATAGAAGGTAAGTTGGGTTCATTATACTTTAAAAAATTCAATGTGAAGTGGTTAATTATACTTTAGACCCAATTACCATGTAAATTTTCTGTACTAACAACTAATATTTATATCTGATCATTTGCTACCTATGGAAATGCAACAATTGAATTGGATAAAGGGAGAAAGCACATAGGGTCAGAAGTAACCAACACTTCCTTCGATACAAATAGTAATCTTAGAGGTTTGGGAGGTACTAAAAGAGAAATCAATGTTTTACAGGCAAGTATTGTCATCTTGACAAATTCCACCACTGAAGTTGTTTTAACTTATGAGTGTCACCACTTAAGTTGTTTACCTATTGAGCAACACACAAGAGCCCAGGTAGCAAGCTACCTTGATGGATGCTCCCCTTAAAAAAATTGAATTAATATTGTGCGGGCATAGCCCACATATAAGATATTAAACTTATAAGAATAGATACTACTCATGATCTTAGCCAAAAGGCCGACGGCCCACATATCAAATATTAAACTAATAAGAAATTCTGCAATCTAAGATGGTACTCTGCAATAATATGCCACATGGCATCAAGGAATTAGAGAGCATAGGAAGTTTGAACATCAAGGAAAATACGCAATGACCAGAACCAGAAAGCAAACCTGACAAAAACTATATAAAAATATTAACATGTTTGGTACTGAAAATTCAAGATTTCAACAAGAATGATTTTCTTCAATATAAAGAGACAACAGCTCAGTCCCTCCACCAATGTGGGACACTTAACACCACGCCCCCACCCACCCCTGCACTCCCAGGACTGGACATCTAGAATATGGACAACATAATGTGGAAACAACATTGGATAGTTCAAGATATGGATAAGTTTTCTCTCTGATACCTCTGCAAACAAATGGACCTTGGAGCTAATTACTCAAATTAATAGTCAAATTGAACTTCAAGAAATTCACCCCTTCAAGATGAGTCATTCATTGGGAACCAATGGATAGTCAATTCCACAGAAAAAATTCTTGAAAATACCCACCAAATCATAGACTATAACCCCCTAAGATTGTCAATAACATCTGATTTCCTATGTGGTCTTTTCTTCATAAATATGTGCATATTTTGTGCTACTGGCAAACTTGATTGAAACGCAGTCAAGAAATTTATGTGATTTCCTCTACATTCTCTGCTTTCCTCCATTATCTCCACTTTATAAGTTCTTTAACTCCCAGCTCATTCTTAACTGTTTCTGCATTCTGCCCAGACCCTGAATAGAGCTAATATACTACTATAGCTCAGTTAAATCTCTCTTGTATGTGCTTTAGGTTTTTCCCTGAAAGAGGATATTTCCAGAATTAATCACTGTTTCTAAATATGTTCTGAGGCTGACAAATAAAGATCCAGCGCTAGTTCTTAAAATTCTCAGCCTTCAACTCTTAACAATGAATAAATAGCAAAACCATTCTACAACAATTAAATGGAAACATGATCACTATCATCAGTTACTCAAGAGTCGAGACATGGTGTGAATCATATGACAAAGACTCTTTTATCATAAAAAGAGTAAACTTTTTATTCCTAATATCCCAATTTATGTGGCAGACTAACCTTTTTAGTCTACCCAAAAAGAATAACATCTTTTTCTGTTTAGAAAAATTTTAACTTTACACTTTCCATTTTACCTTAATAAAATGATTTATAGTCATATAAATGTCCTTGATTTGTTCCAGACCACAAGTTTCACAAGTCTTCCTTTCTTTTGTAAACTCCGTACCCAATAAAACATGGCCACGTGAAATGGGATGGAGTGAGTATGTTCTATGAAAATAACTGCAATCAAAGTAACAAGATCACTGCAAATGATGACTTACCGTCCTGGCTGGAGCATTAACTCCCATTGCAAATGTCTCTGTCGAGAACAGAACCTAAGAAAGAACCAAGAATTGAATGAGCATCTAAGACCTTCAAAAGTAAAACTCACCAAAGGACAGGAATTTTGATAACAAATGGGTCACAAAATGGCAAAAGGAGGTAAAGAAAATTCAGCAGCAGTAGTAAAAGTAGATAACATGAAAATGACTAGCCCAACGTGCAACTTCGTTCAAGGATTTCACCACTTAACTGATAATTCATTTCATCAGAACCGTTTTCCCTTTATTTATTTAGTTAATTTTTTACTTGAAAAGAACATAACATTAGATCACGAGTCATAGTTCAAAAAACAAGAATCATGGGGTCCAAAATTTCTTAATTGGATCCAAAGCTAGGACTCTTCCCAAATCTTAAGAAGTTATTTTAGTATAATTTCCTACTAGGATATACTATCAGTGCTAGTATATACAAACATGACCAAATGCTAATTGTTTTATTTTTTTCTTTCTTAAAGGTTAAATAATTTTATTTATAGAAGGGAAATCACCGCATTTTAAGTAGTATTAGTATACCTAAAAGAAGAGAAACATTAACCAAAATATGTCTCTACAAAGGTCACCCAATAATTATCACAAAGACACAAACAAGGGGCCTCATGGATAAAACAAAAAGAAACTAGTGACCAGAGGTTACTCCTCACATGTACAAAATTGTTCTCAACCCTCCTATTCCTCTTTCTCCAATTTACCCACTTGATTGCTAGTGAAACTACATTTAGGTCTTCTCCTCCATCTTCTGAAAGCCCAGCTATACATTGCCTCCTTTACTGTTCTCAACATAACCCAATGTACTCCAAACCAGTTACAGACCTCCCACCACAGGCGTGTAGCTACTTGGCAATGTATTAGTAAGTAGTAACGTAATTTTCAAATATCTTAAATTAACTTCCACTAATTTTCATTGAGTCTCTAACTTTATTCTGTATGTCTGAGTATCTAATTAAGTATATGAGCATGTCTTTGTGTACACTAACAAGTGCTCTAGCATAAAATTATAAGCCTCTTGCATGCTTAATGCAGAATAATATCTGAAATTAAATAAGTAATTAAATATAGTAACATCCTAACGATGTGCTACCTCCACAAGGTAGTGGTAAGGTCTGCGTACACTCTACCCTCCCCAGACCCCCACTTAGTGGGATTTCACTAGGTATGTTGTTGTTGTTGTTGTAACGTCCTAACAATATGGGCATTTCTGTGGAACAATGTGCCCTTTCCCTTAAAAAAGCTGGCATGTTATATTACCTTAACCAAACCTCGACAAAAAAGCATTTCTACAACTTCCTTGACAATTGGGAGGAGCCCTGCATGATGCACAGCAATGCCCCTGTGCAGAAGGCTTTGAATTCTGACAATCTGTAGTTTAGATGACCATCAATAAGACACTGTTCTGCAATTAGCAGGACACCAAGAAGCAGACGGTCCGCTAGATTAACAAATGCAGCAAATTAGGTAGGACACCTGCGGTAAGTTTCTGTCAGATCCCTTAAGCCGCGAAAATGCTTTAGCACAGAATATCCTAATTTCACTTTTCTCAGAGCTACTTGTGAGATCGGTACCAGGGATGTTATCAGCTGATTTGTCACATCGATTCTTCGAAAAACAAAATATAACCACCTGAAATTACAATTTCATGATAATTATTAGGCTTTAATAAATGATAAGTCTACTATCAACCTGTAAATGAAAAACGGTACTATTAAAAAAATTTAAAAGAGGAGAAGAAAAACACAGCGGACAAGTTATCAAGAGATTAAATACTAACAGCAATGCTAACTACACTGTAAGACGCGGTGGAAGGAATATATACAAGGAACCATGCATGTTAAAAGAATTTTTTTACATACAGGTAACAGTGATTTCTTCAAGAGTTTATTAATCAGCGTCAACCACAAAGACACCTCTGATCTCCTAAACCCCATAACATTCTGTCCAGGCCCAGTGCTTTGCGCTCCCCAACCACCACCAAAATTCCCGAATCTTTGGGGACCAGAATGCTTGTGCTGCTTCGCCTGAGAAGAGCTATCACGCCTCTGTCCTCGACCCTTATCAGCAGCTGTTGAAGACCCAGGACGCAAGCTGGCGCCGCCAGAGACAGAACTTGCGGTCTTCTTCTTATGTACATCTTTGGCTGCTTTAAATCCATGAGGCAGAAACTCTTCATTCTCACACACTTTGTAAAGCTCCCCAGAATAGAAGAGACAATGTTCCAAAGGGACAGGTCTTTTGGTCGTCCTGATAGAAAAGTCCATAAAAGAAAAGGAAACCAGATCAAGCAAGCACTCTATAGATATATTATAATGATAGAAGCTCCTATCTTGTTTCCTGAATCATAGTAGGTCCCGGAGAACTTCAAGAAACAAAGTCATGTAACTTCATTTTTTTGAATTATAATTTAAAGAAAGCACGACTAACCCAGTAACATGAATTTTCTTTTGTTTTGTACGACCAATCCAGTCTGCAAATTCAATTGTGTTGGGTACCTGCAATAAAAAAATGAAACATCTCTTAGTTTCCCTCCTAGCACAGGCTCAAGCATTTTCTTTTCTAGTTCATAGATAGAGACCAATAGTGGGGCTAACATTTCTTCCCACTGAAGCACCTACTTATATTATGTCTTCCCACATTGAGAGCTCCTTTTGACAGGTTTTGCTAACCTATTACATGGCAACTGCAGTAGGTTAGCATCTTTCCAATTTTAATTCCCTTCAAATACCCATGCAATGTTATAAAACATTGGGGCCTTTCAATGGTAGAAATCTCTTTACTGCCAGCAATTTGCACACTGGCAAGTTACAGAAAGCCTGCCCCCACACATCTTTACTTGCCATCTTGGTTATCTATCGGCAATAATTCTACAGACAATGGTAAATGATGAATGGCGAGTCGGGACCTACTGCCGATCCAAGAAATCGGGTTTCCATTTATTTCAAGCTGTATGCCATAAGCCCTAATAGGATTTCTTCTGTTCACTTTTCTCATTTCCTTTTTTTCTAGTTTTCATTAGACTATTGTAAAACAATCAACCAAATGAGGTAATTCAAGACTTTTTCAGTTTTTCTATAAACAAAAGTAGGCAAAATTGCCAACCTACTACAATCATGCAATAGGTTCCCAAAGTCATTTTTTTAGGAAGGATTGTGTTCCCGCTCCAATAGATATTAAGAGATCTTCGACATAGTTGTCTTTATGGTCAAAATGGTCCAAAATTTGAAACTGAAGTCTAGCAAAAAAAAAAAAAAAAAAATGATGACGGTGCTGTCCATGCTAGCTTGTGTGTACCTCGACTATTCCACCGCGTACCTACTACCCCAACCAGAATAGGTACTGGACCCACCAAGGCTTGGGCAAATGGGAAGAAATCGCTTAGATTGTTTTGTCACCGCTGAGATTTAAACCTAAGACCTCATGGTTTTCCACCCACTTCATTGACTACTAAGCCACACCTTTGGATGCAGCAAAAATCTTACTGTCAATGACACATCAAAAAAAGAGTTTCTGGACGAACATCTGACATTAGCTGACTAGTTCTACTTCTATTTTTGGTTCTTTTTTAAGAGGAGCGAGGGCTCAACTAGATGAACCTTAAGACTTTTGTCCAACATACCCATTGTTTACAAGCCACAGTCCACAGAGATAATTTGATGGTCAATTACAAATTTGAAGATGTTCTTTTTCTTCTTTGTGGCACCAAAAGGTTTCTTGTCGACAGGATTTGGTGAAAGAATAAATCAGCATACTGCCAAGTTACAGATTTTTCAAAAGTTTCAATCTGGTTTCCTATGTTTCCTCTCAGCAGTGCAATGTATCAAGCAACCGCTTCTGACCAACAACCAAGCACTCATTATCATCAATTAATGTATACCCAAAACTGATTAAGGAGTGTCATGTCATAAGAAAGATGTCTCATGCCATAAAAATGATAGCTAATCAACTCTGTTGGAGTATAACGATTATGACTTTGATGACCAAAAAAGTTTTTCAAAATAGTAACTAAGGGAGGCCTCTAATCCATGACACCCTACAATTGTTACTCACATAAAGTATAATATGCCTATCTGTTGACCCTATTATGCTATTTTAGACAATAGTAATTAAGCTCAGATCAGGCAAATGTCAAATGCTACCTTTCTTAGATAGGCCAAGCATCAATGGTTCAAAGGGGCTGTCACTTACGTATGAGTACCCCACATTGATCAAATGTATAATTATACTTTGTAAAGTGTGCATATAAAAAGATGCAGGCATAAGGCATTGGTCTCACGCATTCCCATAAATCGTCTGCGTGCCTTTATTTCTCATATATTGATGCTGATCGAACGGGTTCTCTTCTAATAGACATTTTACTTTTGGATATTGTGTTCTAATTGGAGACAATTTAGTATCCTGAAGAGCAAAGATCAAAGTGTGATTACAAGATCCGATGTCAAAGTCTTGAGCCATCGCAACGGCAACTTGAGAACTCATACGGATCAAGCAAATATGGAAGGAATTTAAGTTCAATAACCCACTTAGATGGAACTTGTGTGTGATGATCAAGCTGCACCTGATATTGCATCAAGTCCAGAGTTTCAAGAGAGGATTGAATACATACAAGCTGCTATCACAGAAAAGATACTCTCAAGAGACATCGTCACTAGATTCATAATGTCAAATGATCATCCAAACATATTTACCATGTCCATCATCGAATTAGCGGCATTCGATCAGTGGGCACTGACTTCAGGTAGAATGTTAGATTTGCTAAGCTAAATAGTTAGAAGTTGTACTACTGTTCGTTGATCAAATGTGAAGTTATACATAGAAAAGTGTGTATAAGAAAGTGCAGGTGTAAGACATTTGTCTCATGCATCCTCACACATCTTTTTGTTGTGTCTTCAACTCTCATACCTACATTAAGAGTACTGATCCAAAGCACAAAATAAAGTGACTAAAATATCAAGACCTACCGTAGCTGAAAGGAGGACAAAGTTGATATGTCTTGGAAGCATAATGATAACTTCTTCCCAAACAACACCTCTTTCAACATCATTGACATAATGCACTTCATCAAATATAACCTAAACTCGCAACAAAAAAATACCAGTAACCAACCAAATTATCTCAAGTACTGGAAAGGTTGTAGAAGTGAAACGAGCAGAGCAAAATATTTAATAATTACCCATTCTATATCCCGAATCATATCAGCCCCTCTATAAAGCATTGACCTTAATATCTCAGTGGTCATTATAAGACAAGAGGCCTCAGGTCTTATGCTTATATCACCTGTGAGAAGGCCAACATCAAATTTCCCACAAAAATCCCTGTATTTCTGATTGCTGATTGTTTTGATTGGAGCTGTATATACAGCCCTGGTACAGTGCTGCAGCACACAATAAAAAAACATAAATTTGGTGCAAACCTATTGACAAATAAAGACAAGAAAATTTGGACAGGATTGACCCAAAAAGTTGTAAAGGAACTTATACATAGGATATGTAAAACAGAAGACATTTTATTTATAAGCAAAGAAGAAGATTATACATTAGATATCAGTATAAAATTCTTGATATATTTTTTTATAACCAAAAAAAGAGTCGAATAGTATAAAATCCATGATATAAAGAGAATTCATACTTTAGCTGCCAAAGCAAATGCATATTCTGCCACAACAGTCTTCCCAGCAGATGTATGAGCAGCAACAAAGACAGAGTTCCCTTTTTCAAGATGATAGATGGCCTGCAATTAACACAATGAGAAGGACCACAATTTTTTTAACAGCTTGATAGGCATATATATGCCTGAAATGAAAAGGAAAAAGAAACACAACAAATCGTTTCAAGTTAATAAAAAAGCAAACAGAACTCAACCTATTATGTTCAAAATTAACACTTTGCCATTCATGCCAATGAAACATCATCTGACTAAAACATGGGCCCCGTGATTGAAAGCTAAGTTGCTCGGACTCTCCAAAAATGTTGCCACACGTCGAATCTTTCAAAAATACACTATTTTTGGAAGATCCGACACGCACCCGTCGACATTTTTGAAGAGTCCGAGCAACATAGATTGAAAGCATGTATTTACCCATCAATTTTAAGGGACACAAGATTAAATAAGGCAGAGATATGCCAAGTTCCATATCAGCATTGAAAAACACTACATAAATCATAGATTTATACCTCCTTTTGAAAGGGATCGAGTTCAAAAGGGAAAGTAAGAGCCATATCAGGGATGAGATCATGAAATCGTTCTACAATTACTTCACTGCCACCAGTAACAGCCCATCCCTGCATCAGATGTGTAGAGCAAAAGCATAAAAAAGATCACTATACTTGATGCAGTATTCAAAAAATTGGAGAACTCCTCTTTAACTTATCAAATGAAGGAAATGGAAAACTCTGTTAAGCAAGAAATGTGTCTGTTACGTCATTCTCTTGACGTGCACCATCTTTATCCCCATCCAATCTTGATATTGATCCTTCTGCTTCAACAGACAAAATCTCATCCAAGACGGATATCTCAGTGTCTAGACCCTCATCAGACACTTCGGACTTGTTTACTTCAGCTTCAACCTGAAGTAGCTCTGGCTTGACAGATGGCAATTGTTCCGCTTCAGATTGCAATTCAGACGTATGACCTACATGAGAGGAATAATTATTTTTTTTGAAAACTGGTAATTGTATTCCTCAGAATTAAGGGTTATGCTGGCCATCTCCAAAAAGATATCAACAATGAAATGAAAAAAAAAAACCAATTACAGATATCCTAAAAAGTATATCAACTGGATAGCATCCTCAATGTTTTCTTCTTAGAGAACACATAGAGAAGATAATTCTCTCTCTAATAATTAATTTATTTCACAGTAGCCCATGATTCAAATATATATCATTGTTTGATAACTTTGCTATAATCTTCCGGTCTCTCCAATGTTTAACTAGAAGCATCACTTCTTTTTTGAAACAGTTAACATATCTTATATAAGTAGTAATACAATACAAAGACAGTATAATCATCCCGAATCACAGGACTGTAAAGAGACCAAACTTACAGCTCCTCTATCATCTACAAGGAGTCAAAAACAACAAAACTTGAATCATGATCTTTCTACACATGTGCCTTTACACCAAAAATACAAAAGTACCAAACACTTCAACTTTATCTGCTTGATATGACTTGATTTATCTTCAAAGCATCACTTTTTCTTGTAAAATAAAGTTTAGAAAAAGTCTCACCTATGCATATGTTACTTCACAATTCAACATCTCCTTTAACTTCCATGGTTACTACTTACTCATAGTTGAATTATGTGGACATCTCTTCTAAAAGCTTAACATGTCAAAGAGAGAGCACTTTTTTTTTTCTAAAAGGTAAGAAGTATTATCAATAAAGGTACCAAGATGGTACTAATATTCAGTACAAGCAAAAGAACATGTCCAGTCCTACATCACAAGAGAATCAAACAAGTCCATTGTTTTTAGCATCCTAGTTACATAATTCTCTTTCAAGTTTCAACACAAAAGACTAAATTCTGAATACATATATGGCTTAACATAAGAAGTGGAATCCTTTCTGCCGTCAAAACATCTCTGACTCTTTCCGAGAAAACTGTCCATGCAATACAGACGGGTATTTACATCAACAGTTTCTTCTGTCCTCTCCTTGATCTAAGGTCTCCCCCACCCCCCCGAATTAGAAAAGCAGACAGCAATTAAGCATTCCTCGTCCATAACTAGGCTGAAAGTGCTGGGAACTGACCCTAAGAAGTTCATCATTGTCCTGTGAATCTGTCCAATTCTAGTTTTTCCTCTCATCACCAAATTTCAACTTAATGCAGTTTCAAAATCACCCCCATAGAGTCATGATCTGCTTCCGAGCTGCAACCCCAAAGAGAGAACCAACTATTCTGGGATCCCAATATCTATTTTTGCCATATTTAGTAACAATGACCCTCTTCCACAAAGCATCCTTCCCATCATTCAACCTCCACAACCATTTATAGAAGACTTCTGTTATCTACTTTGAGTTCCGGACTCCAAGTCCTCGCCCATTTTACTCCTAGTCACAGACTCCCATTTAACCAGATGAAATTTTGTCCTTTCGGCATTTCCACCAGTTTTTTAACTACAGATCAAAGATTTCCATCCCACAAGGTGAACATCTGTTCTCTTTATTTCCTTGCCCTATGAAGTTCCTTCTAAGTGAATCCAATCGTTTTTTCACCTTAGGAGATGAGGGGAAAAGTGACATAACATAAGTAGAGAGACCACAATGCTATTACCAGAACTATCCTTCCTGAAACCCCACATCATTCTTTCTAGCACCCAAGGGAGTTAGGGGTGGCAAAACCAAGTCCAACCCGCCCAAACTGTTTAAGTTTGGGCGGGTTATTGACCCGTCCATTCATTAGCTCAACCCATTAAAAAATGGGTTAATATGTAACCCAAATTGGCTAAACTAGTTTAAAAGAACAAATAAAACAATTAAGCTTGGTAAAAATTGGGTTGGGTTGGGTCTAGACCCGTAATGTAACCCATTTTGACCCAACCTGTTTTGACCCAAGCAAATTTGGGTTGGGTTGGGTCTTGACCCAATTGTTGTCTTAACCAATTATGACCCGTCTAAATTTGACCCCCCACCCAATTGCCACCCCTAACGGAGTCCCAAATGTGTAGTGGGAAAAGCTTCTACTTTACATTGCAGGATCTCAGCAAACAGAGCAATAGAATCCACAGCATTAACAGAGAAAACAGTACTTTTGGATAAGTTAACTTTCATCCCTTGCAAAGCTTCGAACACCAAAAAAATGACCCTCAAATATAGAGCTTGCACCCTGTCTACTTCACATTGCAATAGGGTATCATCAGCATAAAGCACATGTGCAATATCGTCTCCATTTCCTTCATTGCCATCAACATAAAATCCCTTTACCCAATGCCTTTATCCAACCTAAACCAGCATCCATGACCAAAACATTTAACTTAAGACCCGTGATCAAAACTACCTAAGCACATGATGGTGTTCAACAAGCATTTCACTCTTCTGCTATGGAAACTGCTTTCCCAACAAAAGTGGAAAAAAAAGGAAAACCTGAGCTTCAAGGAAGAATGCATGACATATAGGCATGCTATCCTAAAATATTACATGTTTGCTATGTCTATCAGATAAAGAAAATTAACTCTGTCCTGGCTAAATTGGCCTTTTGGCTAATCTAGAGATCTTTGACTATGAAATCACTCTTCAAACACAAGAAACATAAAGCAATTAAACGAAGTCTCTAGATGATACAAACCATCTCCAACAAACTCCGTGACATCCTCTTGCCAAGCTTTCTTGAACAAGTCATCAAACTGCACGGATAAGTCACTCTGCAGATTGCCAGACAGAGATGTTTGTCAAAAAAAACAGAAGATGAGAACAAAATTACTTGACACATTCCAAAGCAATTCCGGCAAGCAGACCTAGGGTGCATATAATCCACCACAGTATTTACTTGATAGGAAGGAAACATAAAAGTAAATGTCTATATTTTATATAAGAAAACTTGAATTTATTGTGGTACTAACCAGTTTCACCTCCACTGTGTTCATGACAGCACTCTGATCCTCATATATATTCCAAGAGCATGAATGTGTATCCTTAGATAAATACAAATAAGATGTTTCATAACGTCTTATATACAGAATAATAACTTAATCAAAAGCTCTTCAATGGTTAAAAAACTCAAAAACCTTACCTTAAGATCACCAAGATCAGGTCCTTGCTTAAAGCTTGGAGGAGCGGTTTGGGCAGGACCGCCATTAAGCACCTCCCTTACCCATCCACCGTTTGTAGCACCATCAGGAACAACTCTGCCCAGCGAAGGGGAATCATCCAAGCCACCAGGTCGAAACGGACGACTATTAATGCTTCCTCTAACAAAATCCTTTGGTGGTCCAACAATGCGCGGTAGTGCCCCAGAATCATCAGCTCCAATTGTAAGTTCTGATACGTCTCTCTGAGAAAGTCAGAAGTGAGCCAAAAAATGTCAGGATTAGCAACCAAAAAGGAAATTTCAGATCCTGAAATTCCCCAGTGGTTTTAGTATGGAAAGGAAATGAAAATCAGTAATGAAAGGAACTTGTTAAAGCATGAACACTTAAAAAGTTGATAAAATGATAATGCAAATTCTGTATACCTCCTCTGACTTTGGTTCCCATCCTCCATTATCCAATCTGTCCCGCTGACGTCTAAAAGGCACTTCCCATGTAGGAACAACAACAGATCGAGGCAAAGATGGATCTGGAAGGATTTTAGCTCTCTCAAACCAATCAAACTCCCACTGCCTTCCGACTTTTTCGGGAGAAAACTCATCTGCGTCCAGCTGAGGCAACAGATACTTCTCCCTAATAAATTCCTTTATTGTTTCAGGTGTTTCCTTTGGAAATGCAGGTGGCTGAAACATAAAAGTGATCATAAACAATATTTACACTTTTTTTAAGAGGGATGTGTATGAGAACTGATATGGAGCAAGTATTGAAGTTATAATTTTAAATATTAAACATCAAGTACCGATGTCATTATTAGGGAGTTTAATAAAAGGCAATGACTGAAGTGATTCATATAACTGGAAATATTAGGCATGGATATGCTGCTAGTATATGAAATTTAAACAAAGATTTGAAAGTCCTTGGCCTTATAGGTAGCAGTTCAAAGAGAAATCAACTATCACTCTGTCCCAGATTAGATTGGCTGGGTATCGGAATCCTCTATATTCATTAAACTCCAGGTACGTTCTGTTTAAATGCAAGATAAATTGTCTTTTAATGAAAAGTTAGGGATTCTCTAAAACTAAAGCTTCCTCAAATCTCCCACTTATAGAATAGTCAGAGGCCAAAAGCTAGATTAATATCATAGAGCCAAAACAATACATAGGCTTCAATTAAGGAGTCCCAGAAAGGACAGCCAGAAGTTTGCAGGGTGTTAATTATTACTGCAAAAGCAAATTGGAGGGAAAAAGACAAATCAAACTAGGTCCAGCCCTAAAATTTGATCTCTAAGAATTCTGCAAACAATATATTACCTGTTATTAGGTAGATATCAAGAAATTGGTGGGTCCTGGCTTGATCTGAATTATATGGACTTGATTATCCATCCAAATCAAGAAAGTGTAGTTTCTGCTAACCAATCAAGACAACCCGTAATTATAAACAAGACCCCTTAGTGAAAATCCTAGATCCGCCACTGTCATTGAGGGCATGACCCTTGATAGAAGCGGGGGAAGGTCGAAGATTAAGGTAGAAGGGTAGTAGGTAGGCGGGAGTATTTCTTTCCCATTCTTAGAGTATTAATAATATTCTTCTTGTTTTCCCTATCTTTAGATTACTATTACTACATGTTATTATTAAACCTCCTTATCTTATTTCATCTTGTTGTTTCTGCGTGTTACTGCTGCCTCTTTTTTATTGTTTGTTTGGCCGAAGGGTCTAACGTAAACAACCTCTCTACCTTCTAAAGGTAGGAGTAGGTCTGCGTACACTCTACCCTCCCCAGACCCCACCTATGGGATTATATTGGGCTTGTTTTTGTTGTTATTGGTGATGGTGGTGGTGGTTGTATCAGAGCATGATACGAGCATGGTATCAGTTGAAAGATATTCTTACAGAGTCACTCTATCACTCCAAAATCCGAGTATATCTATTGCAAGTTAGGAACATACAATATGTACACTCCTACTTGATTTGAGAAGGAACACTCATGATTGGGAGATGGAAGAGTTTCATAACTTGATAAAGCTTTTGTATGGGCTAGACACACCAAACAACTTTTCGGATGTATGGAGGTGGTGGGAGTCTGGTGACGGCTTACCCACTATTAGTTCTTTTTATAAGATTTTGCTAGTGAGAAAGGCAGGTACCTTCCCCCCACAATTCCATTTGGATCCCTAGAGCACCAAGAAAGCTTTGTTTCTTGGCATGGTTGGCGGCAAGGGGTGTGACCTTTCTAGATGAAGTTAGAATATTTTTTATGACATTATTTTTGACAAAAATGAAGTTAAAATATTATTAACAACAGAGCATTAACTTTCCCAAATACAAAAAGCATACCAAAAAGTTAAAAAAGCATACAAAATACATGATTTTCTATGAAAGCCACCCGATCATCTATACAAAAAGTAACCTCATGGGTGCACCAAAAAGAAATAAGAGAAAAGAGGTTATTTCTCAAGTGTATGACATATTTCTCTATTCCATCAAAAGCTCTATTTCTCTCTCCATATAGTCCACATCAGTGCTAAAGGTGCAACTCCACATGCCCTGTGTCTTCTACGAGCCCAACTAAACATTGTTTCTTTCATAGTTCTCGCCTCTTGGCATTACCCACTCAAACTCAAACCATCTCATCAGCTACCCCCATAACAAAAATGCTTCCAGGCAATGTAAGAGTAGGTGATCTACGTCTTCCCCTGATTCTTTGCACATGAAGTACCAACTAACACAAGTTATCTTTCTCTTCCTCAAGTTCTCCATTGTCAAAATCACCCCCGTCATGCCTAACCATGTGAAGAAGTACACCTTTCTCAATACTCTAGGGATTCATATCGAGGATGTGGGAAAACAATCTCTTGTTTCACTAAAAGCATCACATAATAGGACTTGATGGAACAGACTCTATTTCCCTCCGTTTCCCGACCTTGCAATTCAAAACATGTGCTAGAGCCTTGTTATAGAATATGGTAACAAATCACAGAGTGATTGTAGAATATTACAGAATAATAAGAGTTATTGTAGAATATTTTCTTTTATTTGTTTTGATTGATTTCCTTTTATAGGATTCTTTGTAATTGTATAAATACCTTGTATATTCATGAATAGAATAACTTCTTTCGTTAGATTACATGGTATCAGAGCCTAGGGCTCAAATTTCTTTAGAAGTTCGACTCTTTTCCTGGCAGCCTAAGAAAGGGTTGGGTCACTCATTTGGAGTGACAAATTTAGTCCTCACCCCAAGGCAAATAATCCCTTTCCTCTCTTTCCCGCTTATATTTTAGCAATCTATTAATATTATTATCATTATTATATTGTTGTTGTCATTACTACTATTATTTAGATATTTTTTAAAAATACTCTGTGTAATCCCACAAATGAGTTTGGGTGTACCACCTTACCCTACCTCCCAAGGTAGAGAGGTTGTTTACGATAAACCCTCAACTCAAGGAAAAGCATATCAAAGTAGATGCTATAGAAAGCATGACAAAGCAAAATATAAAGAAAAAAGGAACAACTACAGTAAAATAGTGTAATTACTATATATATGTAGCTTAATATTTTTTCTTTTTAAGTTTTATTTGGTATAATGATGGCACGAGTTGAGATTAAATGGAAAAACATGATTAGTGACAATCATACAACTGCTCCCAACTTATAGAGGAGTGAGGCATAGTTGTTGATTCAACCTATTCCTCCTATTGGTGACCTAATTCAAGGACACTCCCATTTTTTTGCCATATTTTCAAATTACATCTCTCCCACATCAAAATGCTCGCCAACTTTACCGTAGACATACTCATTGTTCGACTATCACACTATAATTGCAGACCATGAGAACTTGCCCCTTCTTACACGCAATACTTCCCTCCATTTCTCCTTGTAATCCCCTTTGTCTCTCCTCCAAATCCTGACAGACTTATCTAGTCCAGAGAGAACGGCTCACTATTTAACTCTCAGAACACTGAAACAATGTGCCCCATTCCCCATCACAGATCACAATGGATGTTGGTACCCTACCAACATTTCTCACCAAAATCCTAATACATGACATATCATGTGTGACATATATAGCATTTACAAAAATAAATATGCATCTCCTACTTTCTTTAAAAAAGTCAAAACAACATGTGTACCTATAGCCCAACAAAGTGCCCAACAATAACATCGCTAGCAAACTTAGGTCAACATATCCTTACATCTCGCTCTATCTTTCAAGCTTCAAAAATTTCTGCACATCCATCTTCAATCTTCAAAAGGTTACCATGCCCCAAACACCAGTGTGTAATAGCTTCCGGTGAACACACCCACTTTCTGAAACACCCTACCAAACACGTCCTTGCAAATCTCTTCCCCCTCTTGGTATACTCACTTGAATCCTAAATATTGGTTCATTAAATTTAATTGTAGTCACATCACAACATTCATGAACAACTTAATTTATTTATTTTATTTTGATAACCGAGAAATCTGTCTGTGACCCGCCCTTTGGACCAACCACAGCCTTCTAAACTCGGTGGATAATGGGCCCGCCCCTCTACCCTTCTCCACTTAAATACCAGGCTTTACTTTGCATGGTGTGGGGCTTGAACCTGCGACCTAAGCCACAAATCCTCCACCCTTTTGCCACTTGAGCTAGGCCTTGGGGGCATGAACAACTTAATTATTAATCTTCTTTGATTCAACAGAAAAGAAATAGCCTCCTCCGGTGGTTGCCATCCAATTGATATCTGGATAATGGAACAAAGAGGAAAACAGTTGATGGGAAAGCTAAGAAGACACTTAAAAACTTGTATTATTGCTTTCTGGTCACCGGATAAGGCCTGACATGGATGATCAAACTCAATTATGAAAAGTGAACTCCCTAAAGAAAGAATGACGCTGAAATGTAGTCAGCAAAGCAAAAAAGTCATCAAAATCAATCGAAAAGCAGTTATCACTTCTCTGATCACCAGGAAGAGCATTCACCTAGACTGGAAGACTTTAGGATGGCGATAGAGCACCTTGGAAGAAGAAAATATTAACAAAAGTTTTATGACAAAGGCTCGCGTGCCTGCAGTCATTGAAGAAGTGCCACTGCTAGGTGACACATGTGGGCGTGTGCCGCTTCTGACAAGATTCTAGTTTGGTGGGTTTTGTTGTGAGGTGCTTCCGACCTCGGTAGTGTGGTTGTTGGTTGGAAATATGGTATGGTCCCCGGTTATGGATCTAGTTATGGGACGCTGCAAGATAAATTCTGAAGTTTTCTTTTTTCTACCTATGGTGCTGGTTCGTTAAGAGAGAACTTGCGATCTCTTGAGTTTGAAGTACTCAAAAACTTGACTAATTTTCTATTCCCCTTTTCCATTGAATTCAAATAACTTAAATACAACATTGGTGATTAACCACCCACCTAATAACAAGGAAATAACTTCCCACTACTACTGAAATGAGAAAGTGGAAAAATAACCTCCTTACTGTTAATAACTTCTAATAACTACTACTACAGAGAAAACAACTGCTATAGGAAAACACTATTACAGACTTCTAATAACTACTACTACAGAGAAAACAACTGCTACAGGAAAACACTGTTACAGAACCTATTACAGAGAAAACAGAAAAACATAATTAATAGCTACTGATTTAATTTCCATGCATAAAATTGTTGGTAGACTAAAAGGGTACTAACATTACTCCCCTCTAAAAATCGCGCTTGTCCTCAAGCGCTAAGTGTGGAAAGTAATTCTTCTTCATCGTTAATGAAATCAATCCAGAATAACTTCTTGCATTGGTGACCTCGAGTGAATGGTTCATCACAGTTGAAACAAAGTCCCTTAAGTCGTCTTTCCTCCATTTCAGATTTGGTCAGTTTCTTCACAAATCTGACATGTTGTTGAGGTGAGAAATCTGTTGTCTTTGATTTGCAAGCATCTAACAATTGCGAACAAATGGGTTGTTCCTTGCGTTCATAAAGTCGGGAAAAACTCATCGCTGTAGCCAAATCTGGAGAATTATGCAACTCAACCTCAATTGCTATATAATCAGTAAGACCGCTGATATAAAGTTCAATTTTTTGTGACTGCGTAAGTGTACCAGCCCGCGAAATTAACTGCTCAAATGTTTCTTGGTAATCTGCCACAGACCCGATCTGGCGTAGCTTAGCCAATTCTCCCAATTTCTGACTTCTGATTGGTGGCCCAAAATGAAGGTTACAATGACGTTTGAAGTCATCCCAAGATAGTTGAGGCAGATCTGTCTCTAATTGAAGAAACCAAAGTTGTGCATTGCCCTCCAAATGAAAAGAAGCAAGTCCAACCTTTTCTTCTTCCAGTGTTTGTTGGTGTCGAAAAAAGTGTTCACACCTGTTCAACCATCCCAAAGGGTCCCCTTGGCCATTAAATCGTGGGAAATCCAGTTTTGTATGTCGAGGAATGATGAAACTTCCACCTGTTTCTGATCCTGACCCCCTGCCACTCTGTTTTACCCTTCCAACCGCGATTCTGACTGATATGTTCAGTTGAATCAGAATCGACCTTAGAATTTACTAAATCCTGTGTCAGTGCATCCAAGCGAGCATTTGTTGCTTCATGTCTGGCTAAATTGGCTGCACGTTCTTCTTGGAACAAATTCACTAATTGTGCTAGTTGATGTTGAATTTGGTCTCCCATAAACGCCGTCTCTGATACCAAGTTGGTATGGTCCCCGGTTATGGATCTAGTTATGGGACGCTGCAAGATAAATTCTGAAGTTCTCTTTTTCTACCTATGGTGTTGGTTCGTTAAGAGAGAACCTGCGATCTCTTGAGTTTGAAGTACTCAAAAACTTGACTAATTTTCTGCTCCCCTTTTCCATTGAATTCAAATAACTTAAATACAACATTGGTGATTAACCACCCACCTAATAACAAGGAAATAACTTCCCACTACTACTGAAATGAGAAAGTGGAAAAATAACCTCCTTACTGTTAATAACTTCTAATAACTACTACTACAGAGAAAACAACTGCTACAGGAAAACACTGTTACAGACTTCTAATAACTACTACTACAGAGAAAACAACTGCTACAGGAAAACACTGTTACAGAACCTATTACAGAGAAAACAAAAAAAACATAATTAATAGCTACTGATTTAATTTCCATGCATAAAATTGTTGGTAGACTAAAAGGGTACTAACAAAATATTTGTCAGATTATGATGTATTCGCTCTCCCCTCAAACCCCCAAGGGTTACTGCCTATGTAGGGAGCATATAACGGTTCAAATATAGAAGAATGAATAAAGAGTATCCATATAATTGACCCAACAATTTGGAATTAAGTGTAGTTCTCATTGTTGTCATAAATAAGTCATATTAATTTAAAATTCACTTTCCTCTTTTCATTGGTGGCTAACGAACATGCATTCAATCAACAAACTAAAATAAGTAAACACATAGAACTGTAAAATCTTCAGGAGTGTATAGATAGGGAGTGTAAATATATTAAAAGCTAAGTAATTTCTTCTCATATACCTAAGTCTTGATTGACAGAGTTACCAAGTAGTAAGTCCTATCAAGTACGGGTTTAATGAAACCTGTGAATTCTGATTCAAACCCTATTTACATGTGATTGATTAACATGTATTCCTATCAGAGACCTCATTCCAGGTCCACATATGTTGTAGACAACTGTTATGAAGTAATAAAACCTAAAATGGATGAACACCTAATGTGCGTGAGCATGTATGCTAGAGTGTGTGTATGTGTGCTAAGACCATAGTAGGGCTCGATAATACAAAACGTATAATGGTAACTTGTCCTTCCTAAAAAAGGAACTTCTGCGCCTAAGGAGAAAGTCTTTGCAACCGAAGTGAGCCAAGGAGCCGAGTGGCGTGCCAGCGCTACTAATTGAGTGCCAGCACCTAGCTGTTTCATGCTAGAGCAGAGACTCGGATGAAACTTGAAAGACATTCCAAGTAAACACATGTTTTCAGATAGTTGTTAAAAAATTATAGAACCTAAAATAGATGAAATGCCTTTTAAAGAGCATTAAATCCCTCTTTCTACCCAACGTCATTCCAATCACTCTCCTTCCTATCCCAAGATCCAACCACCTATTGCTTCCCTTCGGAGAAAGAACTTATTTCCAACTTATTTATCCAAACTATATATGGCAATCAAGCTAGAAAAAGACTAAGAAAATGCTCTTGGAATCATTATTTCCATTGCTAATTGACACATTTCAATCATTATCATCAATGAATTAGGTGAAAGTGCAGAAAGAGTGGGCTTTGAACACTCGGTAAACAAATGCCTACATAGCAGTTCAAATGCTACACCTTAATTCAGGACCTAATGCCTAAAAATTCTAGATACATCTCTGTAGAAAGTTTCATGTTTTGACAAGTCCCAGTTGCAAGCAAGGTGACCCCAATACCACCTTAGGGGTATTTCATGATTAATTATTATCTCTAACCAAACACAGTCTGCATTTTATAGCGGGATTATTATCTCTTATCCCTCATACCAAATGACGCCCAGGAAAAATAAGGAGTGTGAGTGACAGAAAAGCTTACCAAAATGAAGTCAGGAATAGAATTGAGAGGAGTATCGCGTTCAACGGGAGGGAGAGGCTCGATCGTGAGGTGACCACTGTGTCCTGTAAACCCTATTCGAAAAGATAGTTCCTTTGCTGCTACTAACCGATCCATTGCTCTGTTAATGCTCTTTCTTCGCTTTTTTCAGTTTTGATTCTTCTACAGGCTCAAAACAAGTGTATCAGTATTCTGATATCTCCGGCGATGTTCCGCCGGAAGAATGCCGAAGAAGATAAGAAAGTCTGCCGTTTGCGGTGAATTCGGAGATACTCGCCGGCGATAAGTCACGGCGGGATGTTTATTTATATTTTGTTTTTTTCTTAGAACCTAAATATTTAGCACTTTTTCCTCTAATTGTTTAAGGGTGCAATATTTATTTTGCTACATAAATTAAACTTTTTTGCTTTAAATCCCAATAAAGTTTAAATAGATATAATAAACTTTTTTTTTATGAGTTTGATAAGTTACGTTGAAATTTAAATTAATTCAACTAATACGTTATAAAGCTCATTTATGGAGATAACGCTTTAATAATGATAATTCATTGCAAAATACCCCTACAAGTTAACTAGTGTTAGATTAAAGCTATTTAAGAGGGAAAAAATGGCTAAAACAAAATAGTTAAATCAATCAACTTAAATACTGACATATATTTGCTTTTGTTTGATTTGATATTAAATAAGAAAAAATGAATTGAACTGATATATAAATTATATATTTTGTTAGATAATTTAAAATGTTATAGAATTTTTTATAGCCTTATCATATGTGGTTTTTATGAGTTTAACTATATTTAAATATGATTCCTATAAAAAAAAAATTTTTTTTTTTTAAATGCTTGATTGTAACATATGTTATCATCTTCTTATCAAAATTTGTTTTGATACTTCAATTTCTTTGTTCTTTGTTTTTTTAGAAAAGTTGTTTTATCAACAATATTTCTCAATAGTGAAATGAAGATACTAAGGTCCAGAGTTTATAAGAAAAAAATGAGTTCTATATTGAATTTTTAATAGTTATTTGTTTAATTTTAAATTATTAAAATTTAACTAAGTTTGGAAGTATACATGAATGTAAATTTGTTGTTATACTATACTAGTGTTAGTGAATAATTATCAGAGATTACAGATTAAATTTCACATAAAGATATTTCGATAAACAAATTCATCACTATGTTCAATGCTTGCTAAGCACATTTTGATTATAAAAATGGTTTATCCATAACTATAATAGAATGAATGTTTAGTTTTAGTAGCAATAATTATGTGGAATTTTAGAATATAATTACTATGATGGGATTTACCATGGATCAATTCTTAATCCTTTTATTTATTTATTTATTTATTTTGGTGATGGACGAATTGACACGGCATATTCAATTAGAGGTATTATGGTGTATGTTATTTATGGATAACATAATTTTGATTGATAAGATTCAAAGTGGAATTAACAATAAGCTGAAGGTTAGGAGGTAGACCTTGGAGTTTAAAGGATTTACGTTGAGTAGAACCAAGACATAATATTTGGAGTAAAAGTTCAATGACATAATGTTTGAAGCTACCGCAAAAGTGAGGCTTGATACACAAGTCATTCAAAAAAGAGGAAGTTTCAAGTATTTGGGTCTATTGTCCAAGGAAAAGGAAGATTGACGATAATGTCACACATCATATAGGTGTAGGTTAGATGAAATGGGGACTCGCATTCGAAGTTTTGTGTAATTAGAAGATGTCATCAAAACTTAAAGGCAAATTTTACAAAGCGATGATTAGACCGGCTATATATGTTGTATGGAGCGGAGTATTGGTCAGTCAAAAACTTATTAATTCAAGAAAAAAAATGGCATTTGATTGAGAAAAGAGAGGAAGAAAGTTTGTAACGAGAGAGGCAAAGTTGTGCAGAGAGAGAGAGACAGGCGGATGACATGATTATTTTGTGGCGTATTAAATAAGACTGAATGTTGTTAAGACTCTTCCGTTCAAATTTATTGTGATTCATTAAGAGTTTAAACAAATGAACTTAATATGTTGAATATGAATTTGTTGAGTGCAAACAAAATTAAGACATATTCTAATGACTTTTGACTTCTTAATCCTTTCCATGCCATGTCTATGTTCTATTGGCTATCATGCTTCCTTTTTATGTATATATGTATGTTCATGTTTCATTCTGTCATTTTCAGGGGCGGCTCAACGTAATCGGAGGCCTAAAGCGAAATCTTAATTAGAGGCCTAAAATCTAAACAAACTTCACATGCATTTATTTAAATTTTATTTTTCTTACATTTTTAAATGCAAAGTATTACTTAATATTTTTTTATATATATAAATAATTTATTCGATTTCTTTTTCAATTATTAGTTTTAAATAAGATTTTATTAATTCAACATTGAAAAATATTATTTTACTCGGGCAATCATTATATGAATTGTTAACATAGTTCTGCAAGTAATAAGTTGACAAATTTCAAATAAATATAAGAGTTAGAACCATAGCTTTGATGAAGTTGATAATTTAGTTACCCCACATTTTACTATGGTTGTTGTAATGCTTGAAAATCTAAGAATAAGAAATGGAAAAAGAATTTACAATTCAATTTATTCAACACTTTTCGACTATTAATTGATATTTTTGACAGAATATTACTCTAACTTATCAACAATTTAAAGAAGAGAGTGGAAAAGGAGTTAAAAAAGAAAATAATGTGAGTATTAGTAGAGAGTGTAAGAAAATAAAACAATATTTTCTTGATTTCTTCTATTTGAATAGGGTTGAAGAGAATAAAATAATAATTTTAAATATATATTTTTTATCATAAATAATCAATATTTTTTTTATAAAAAATTAAAACATAATTTATTCTTGGTAAAAAGTTGAGGCCCCTAAAATTGGGGGCCTAAGGCCAATGCCTTATTAAATAATACATAGAGCCGGCCCTGGTCATTTTATATATAACACAATTCAATATCTGCTTATAATTTTTGTTAGGGATATTGTATCTTTTAAATGATGCAGACACAGTATGTAGATACATGTGATTAGGGAACACCTTAAAATTTTCATATCCTACATCGGGTGAGCCCCCACCTGCTTTCAAGAGTTTAGTTCTATCTTTCAGCACATTAGATTATTTCTCTTAAGGTATGTCAATCGGTGTCTTCTCTCGATAATCAATATTAGAGATTTCACAAGTAGACAATAATATGTTATCATGACACGTATTCCCATTATAGTTGTTGTATTGTTGTATGATAATTAACATTATGAATTATGATTAATACAAAGTATCTATTTTACAAGAAATATCCCCTCAACTGCTTGAATTTATGTTTTCCGTTTATGTCTAAAAATAAACGTGTGCACTATATTATGTCATGCTATGGATACGTTTGGGCTAACAATGCTCATGAGATTTTACCACTATAATGGAAAGTCTCAAATTATAATGTAAAATCTTAATATATAAAAATAAAAAAGGAGTTTACCATGAATATATTCAAATTAAAAAATTGAAGACCAACAATATTGTTCTCATTGGTGTGGGGATGTACAATATTACATTAATATCGGGGAATAAAAGCTTCAATTATGGCAACACCTCAACATTTAGTAAATCTATGATGTTTATTTATTTCAACTTCAATTGATATACCTAATTTAATTAGATTTTATTACTTTAATTATGCTAGATTAGTTTTTTGCTTTTTTGCTCTTATTCTCAAATTTAAAATTTTCTCATCAATTTATTTATTTAGTTATTTCTCAATACATGGGAATGGACAAATTTTTGAAATTTAAATAAATGAATGTTAGTTAGGAACATCAAAGGTACTTGAGGGCTCTTCACATTTTTTTTTTTTTTTTTTTTTATTATTATTATTATTATTATTATTATTATTGTTATTGTGCCAAAAAAAACAAACCAGACAACCTATACGATCTAGAATATATTCCCTCAATTTCAAATTAATTAAATTGTTGAGACATTTTTTATTTTTCAAATTAACTTAATTGTTCAATTTTCAAGACTACTTTTAAAATGTTCTTCCAATTTTACCCTTCATTAGTTAGTATATGAAATTGGTTACTACTTAATGTTTAGTTATTTTAATCATAAATTTGACAATAATTAATTAGGGTAAAAATAAAAAGTTATGTCAAATTTATGTCTTAATCTTCTTTTCTTAAAGGCATGAAATACCTCAACAATTCAATTAATTTAAAATGGAGGGAGTAGATTAAATAAATGAGAAAATATGTTGAGTAGGTTCTATTTTAGGTGTTAATTGAGTAGTTATTTCTTAATTCAATTTGTCATTTTCAAGAGACTAATATTTTTTGGTAAAAAGATTTGAAACTCCTATTTTAGTATTTATTTTATCGGTTGAGATATAATAAATATGCAGTACCGTATGTTGAACTATAGATATATATGCATCATTCTTTCAATGAGGGATATATTCACTCTAAATGGCAAAATTGAAAGACATATTTACCTTTTTTCCTTGAATAAAAGTAATCTGGATTTTTAGAATTTAAGAAATATTAAAGACTTAGCTTTATTTGGGAGAAAAAAGGATTATATTGATCTTTTTATATTTATTGTCATACTTATTTTAGTACACATAATTGTGATCATTTAGCGGTTCCGTGCACTCATAAATTCCTCATTTATGGCAATGGTGCAAATAGCAATTTTGAATTAATAGTAGTGTTCCAGTAGGTTAAGAAATTTAAAACAAAATAATAAATTATCCTTTCTGCAAAATAGACCAGTTGTCACAATTACTTGGGAGTAGGTTGCAGTTAAATTTATTACTTTTTAGTTTATTTGTACTTGTCATATTTAAATTTGACGTATTCATCAAGAAAATAATAATTGGTATATTTTTTTACTATACGAAAAAATGTTTAAATATGTTATCCAACTTTAAGAAATGACTTATTTATATCATCCTTTAAAAGTTTGAATCATCCATGTCATTTTCGTTTGAGTAAAGGCTAATTGAAATGATATAGATGAACCAAACTTTAAACAGATGACATAAATGAGTCTTTTCTCAAAGTTCGATAGCATATTTGAGCATTTTTCTTTTTAGAAAAATGATTTAATTAATGACGTCGTCAAATTATTATTGACCACATATAAAAAATGATTTAGCAAAATTGAAACTTTTTTCACTTAACAAATAATGGCATGGATGAGCGCTTTCTCAAATGGAAATGATATAGATGAACCAAACTTT